AACGTACATTAGTCTGGCATATAAGTATAAGCAACCAAAAAGATCTGAACAAAAAGTCATGATCTCTAAAGGAACATTAAGGAGTTCTAAGAGAGTAAAAGTAACCTCAAAGAAAGATAAAACACAATCAGAAAAGAAACAGGTATGTATTATTTATAAGAAAAAACAATTTAATTTGTTTATAATAATTTTAATAAACAGAGCCGAAAGAGACAAGTAAATAGAGTACGAAGGAAGAAAGCACAAGAAGAATTCAGATCTAACATACATACATGCAATGAAATGTCTCATATAAATTCTAATACTGTAGATAATATGAAAGATGTCTTATATAAAAATGATATTTGTCCCAATCAGCATGAGTATTTGCATCAAAATAATCTAGAGATAAGTAAAACATCACAAAAAAATTCATTTACAACTAATGAGTACAGTGCAGAATTTAAATATATGGCAAATTATAAACAAGTTATCAAGCCATGTTTTGTTAAATTAAATGCTTGCACTGTTCAGAATTATATGTTGAACTGCAAAAAGATTTCACAAAATATGCATGATGTATTGTATAATGTAGAATCAATATGTACAGGTACTTTACGAACTAAAACAAATATTTCTAAAAAACAAAATGCTATTTCACAGTCAGTCTCAACTGAATGTAATGACTTTAGAAACTTTAAACATACATTGATTAAACAATGTTATGTATCATTATGTGATAATATTGTTAAAAATTGGTACATATTGAAAAATAAAGAAACATGAAAGATTCTATCAATATAAGAAATGAATCAAATGTATTACATTCAGTAACTTTTTATGATCCATTCAAAATTGCTTTAAATTGCAATAAATGTATTAAACTTCCATCAAATTATATGAAAGAAAACAAAGATTTAATAGAAGATAGTTTCAAAAAAATCATTTAAAAGTGGAAGAATTAAAGATAAGAAAATTTGTAAAAGAATATGATACAGTATCTAATGAAAAAAACATAACATAATTTCTAGCACTCCTCTTAGCAAACATGTGAAACCTTCAAACTGTTCAATAATATTTTCTCCTATTAATTCTAACATTTGTGACAATTGGGGCCAAGAATGTTCACTAGCGATTGTGAAAGATGATGTATTTAACACTGATCAAAAAGATTCTCATTCTTTTATAATGTCGGAAAGTTATAAATTTGAGTCTGTAGATATTCAAAAACAACAAAGAAAAGTTTCTTTGTCGTCTCAGAAGTCACAAATATCTATAAATGTCGCTGTTAAAAACAAACTGACATCTTATAAAGATAATATTCATGTAACTCAGAAATATGAAACAAAATGCAAAATTGAAACAGAAAATCTATATTCCTTAAATATATCCATTGCAAGTACTGATCAATCACGATCGTTGTTTGATGATACAAAATATAATCACGTTCACTCAGCAAAGGAAGTTGGAAATAATATCGAAAAGGAGTATTCTACGAATGCATTAGGATGTAAAAAAATTGATATGGCAGATTCATTTGCTGATGCATGTTTGAAACAAAAGCAATTATTAGATGCTAATGAAATAACTGATACAAACTTGCAACATACACCATATGTATATATAACAAGAAATTTAAATTTAAATAATATTACGCATATGAAACAAGAATATAAAAATGAATCTCAAAGAATTTATGATACAGAAATAAATACTACAGAAATGATTTCTAGAAACTTTGATGATGAAGTTGTTAATTTTAGCAAACACAGTTTATTTGATAAAAGTCAAAATAATATTGTCGAGGCTCGCGTATTGCCTACACGATTGCAAGATTCGATTAGAATAGGAAAGAGAATTCAATATCCTAAATGGCATCTTAGCATGTCAAATACTTCTGATAATTTGAATAACGAATCTACACAATCAAACAATGAAGTAATTTGTCACATTGCAACCGACAAAGTTTCTGATATTCAATCAACAATGTATAATTCCGACCACTCTAAGAATATGATAAATTCGTCTTTTGATTTTTTCGAATCGGTCGATGACACAATTCAATTATACAATTATACAAATAAACAAATGGAGAAATCTGTTTTTCTAAAACCGGGCAAATGTTGGGCTAGATCTCTATCAATATTGAATAACATAAATAATGGATCTAATTTACACAAATTAAGTATTGGAAAGGGGAAAAAATGGAGGCACAGTGTCAGAGATTTATTAGACATGCAAAAACAAGGTAATTTTTATATTAGATTTTTTTATTTAGATGAAAATATATTAAAAAGTAGAATATATACAACGTGCATATAAGTATCATAATGGAGCCTATATAAATTATTATAAATCATCAAATTATGCATTACACGACATAAGTAAAATTGATTTTTTTATATAAAACTTTTCTTTATTATATATGTTATAATATATATATTATTATATATGTTATAATTTGATAATTAGTTTTGTTAAGAGACATGTCTATTTATTACACACACACACACGCACACGCACGCACGCACGCACGCACGCACGCACGCACACACAGGCTATCTCATTTCTAATGATTATCCTAAATTCTTTCCCTAATTCTTTTATACAATTTAAAAAAAGAAATGTGTCAAAACTTTAAAGAGATTTTAAAAGAGTTTGAAGAAGATTATAATGATGATATTGATTCATTCATAAACTGCTATTTAAAGGGGGAGCCTCATGTAACGCGCCTTATAACTGAAAATTTAGTGATTCTTTTGAATTGTGTTTTGAGGAAATTATATGACCAATTCTTTAAAAATTTTTAAGATATACTACTGTAATATTGAACTACTAAAAAATATTTTTGATAAAAAAATAATATGTATTTTATGAATATCTCGCCAAAAACAGTTAAAACTTTAATGATACAGTAATAATGAATGGGAGTGACAAGAAAGCCTTCTGTATCTGCAGATTCTAACAGTACAGAAGGCTTTGTTACCATTTATTATTACCATATCATTAAAGTTTTAACTGTTTTTGGCGAAATATTATTCAGAAAATACATATTATTTTTTTATCAAAAATATTTTTTTAGTAGTTCAATATTACAATAACATACTCTAAAAATTTTAAAAGAATTGATCCTATAGTTTTTTTAAAACACAATGAGATTTGAAAGAATCACCTAATTTTCAGCGCATTACATGAGGCTCCCTCCTTAATTCTAGTTTATTTTTATATAACAAAATATGTCATAAATTATTAATTTTTTATAACTTAATACTTTAATACTTTTTTAATTCTTAAAACAGTATTTCAAAATTTAAAACGTTTTTAGTATAATAATAAAGTGAGATTGAACAAAAGAATTTTGATACTTACATTTAGCCTCTTTGATAAATAAGTTGGTTTTATAATATTTATTATCTAATGATATTATATTTATTGTATAGATGTAACAGATACTAAAATGTAACAATCATTATGCATAGGAATTTCCGAAAATTACTTAAATAAAAAAGATGATACGGACATATTCAGCAATAAGTTTAATGCATCCAATATATCTGACAGTAACTGTGATAAAAAATCCAATTTAACAAATCATGATAGGTTTTCAAAAAGGATTTCGATGAGAGTTGTTCTTAATAATATAAGTATTAAGAGCGATATCAAGGACACTCCATTTCTTGAGGCATTTGGAATAATAATAGAAAAATCTCCGAATTTGAAACAAGCATGTAAATATTTTTTTGCACTATATATAACTCATTTGTTTTATGTAATATACTATTACATATAACCATTATATTAATATAAATTAAATAAATATTTATAGACCGAAAAGATTCACTGACATATGATGATCAAATTATTAAACATTCCGCAACCGCGAGAGATGTTATCTTGCAAAGATGTTCACAAAATGATTATATGCATTTTTCAGATTGTTTTCCAGATTCGTATGTAAATCTTTATATGTATTTACGAATTTATATTATATATATATTTATAAATTATATATTAATACGGGCACACATCCCCACACATACATATACATACACAATATTATTAATTACTCTGTTTTATTGGCAGCTATTTAGAACACTGCCATAAAATAGGCGAAGGTGTTTATGGAGAAGTTTTCCTCCATGAATATGGCGGTAAAAAATCTGTTATAAAAATTATTCCTATAGAAGGTAAACAGTTGGTTAATGGTGAGCCACAAAAAAAATTTAATGAAATATTGTCAGAAATTGTGATTGCAAAGTGAGTGAGTCAATTGATTAATTGTATGCAGGTTTGACTATTGATGAAGATCATAAAAAAGACTATTTGCAGGGAATTAGATAATCTAAGATTAAATGCTACATATAAAACTAGTGGATTTGTAGAAGTTAAAAATATCAGCTGTATTATAGGAAAATATCCAAAAAAGCTCATAGAACTTTGGAATGTTTACGACAACGATAAAGCATCAGACAATGACTGCCCATCAATGTTTGATGAAACTCAATTATATATCGCTCTTGAACTTGGTCATGGTGGAGAGGATCTCGAAGCTTTTGTTTTTCAAACTGCAGAAGAGACCTATGCTCTATTTTTACAGGTTAATTCTTTATGGTTGCCATTTTTTGATAATTATAATTAATTGTCCATCTACCAATGTTCAAATTTTTTACTTTTTACAGATAGCATTGGCGTTAGCAGTTGCAGAAAAGGCACTTGAATTTGAACATAGAGATATGCATTGGGGTAATATATTAGTACAAAATACAAAGGAACCATATATATATTATGACATGGACGGAAAAGAGATCAAACTTCCCAGTCATGGTGTAAAAGTACATATTATTCATTACTCTTTATTTATTAATTAAAACATTTCAAATACTGTTACTCTGCTATATAATGTTCATGAATTTTTCTCAAGATGTCTATAATAGATTTTACGTTATCGAGAATGTTATATCAAGGATGCTGCATATATAATGATCTTGCATTAGATCCAGCTTTATTTACTGCTCATGGCGAATATCAATTTGAGATTTATCGTCTTATGCGCGATAAAATTCAGTAAGTTACATACATATGTTTCTTCTTATTTTTTTTTTTTTTTTTATTAGTTATTTTTACTTCCATTATGTGTGCAGGAATAATTGGCAAAAGTTTGAACCATATACTAATGTTCTGTGGTTGCATTATATTTTGGATAAGATGATTACGGCGGTAAGATACAAAAAGAAGAATTTAAAAATACATAGACACGCCATTATTAAATTAAGAAAATTCAAAGATACAATTTTAAATTATGACAGTGCAGTCGATTTTGTAATCAATTCTAATAATGTTACATATCTATGATGCAAGCCAAAAGATGAAAAAATATTTGAACAACAAATCAAATTTCGCAAAATTTTTGTTATATTTAGTAATATAATTATATAATAAATGTATTAAGACATATAACATTAAGATATGTAATAACATTTGCACTTGATAGAACAGACGTATACCAACAATTTCTGTTGCTTCGATAATCAATAATTATATATCTAGAATTGTATCTAATCAAGAATATGGTCACAATTTGATTAACCATTCAAATAACTATAGATATATGGATATTTATTGATAATGGAGCGACTAAATTTTTAGTATTTTATGTCTATACTATTGCCTCATTTTTATCGCAAACATTTGTATTTGATTGTATTTT